ATCCCATATATATCAATGCTCACTGTATATGTATGAAAAGGTATTATGATTGGCAGACCGTAATATACCTTATTTTAGCATTTATGTTTAACTGACCTCATTTTAAATAATCTTTTAAAAATTATTTTGAAGAATAGATATATTTATCTATTATTATAAATAATAAATAATATTTATTATTAAATGTTAGGTGAACATTTTAGAAATGACTTGATTTTATTGAGACAATCTAGATCTAATGTACTAAGAAAAGGCCAAAATCTATATCACTCTGTAACACACCTTATATTTCTATTTTACACCTAGTTATAGTACAGCATGTGAGTCTTTTATATGCTATATGCTATATGCTATAGCGGTTTGATCCTCCAAATATACCTGCCTTTAATAAAGAACTCATTTAGAGTCCCATCAGGAGCTGAGAGTGATCGGTTAATACATTCGACAAAGATTTCGTTTTCCTTGTTTGATTTCCATATTTAAATTTAATTCTGCTTCATTTTATTTCGTCTGTGGTAATACTAGTGATTAAACTGGAATAAAACATAAGAAATGCCAGGTGTTCAAAAAAATGCTTGACTGGCAGAATATACACTCCTGGGCAAAAAAAAAAAATGGGCCAAGCCCAAAATGGCAAAATATTAAGCTTTTAATGGTCTTAAAAATAAATCACTATTCAGGAAATTAGCAAATAAATTAATTAAACGAATAGATAAAGGAACTTAGTATGGGATAGCTTTTCCCTTTGATTTCTTTACAAGTTTAAGCCATGTGGCCCTTGATGGGCCGCATCAGATGTGGCAGATTACCAAATAATGACTAAATAATGAGAAAAAAAAAACATTCCAGAAGATATTTTTGGAAAATTCGGTATACCCAGACATGTGTTAGTTTGAATTTTACATCAAAAATTGCAATAATTACCATGATTTTTACCTTTGTGTACAAGAAGACTATATAAGTGAATTTCCCTGTTTCTAGTTTTTCCCCAAACAGTTCACTGCAGCAAAAATAAACCAGCAAATGCTGGCACACTTGCTAATTTTCTGACCAATGATTTGTTGTTAAGACCATTAAAAGCTTAATATTTGCCATTTTGGGCTTGGATCATTTTTTGCCCAGGAGTGTACTGTATAATAGATTGCATTTTTGTATTTACTTAATATATAATAATAATCCTTCTGTAGCATTCTCAGCTTTATCTAATATCCCTTATGAGTCAGCTCCCTGATAGAGTGATGCCTGGCCCGAATCTAGCGCTAGTCTGCACTGTGGACTGCCAGAGCTATTTCAAGACTCCCATGGTCATCTTGCCTAAACAAGCTTGATGTCTGGGACCAAAGCTGTCAATAAATAAACCAGGCAAAAAGGCCAGGGTGTTCACATTGTGCTGTAGTCTATTTTCTCTTACACCAACAGAGCCAGGTCAATCGCCGCCTTTCTCCATGAGAGCACTTTAAATTTGCATATGTTGTTGGAGCATTAATAAACAGACCCAGCAATGCTTTCAGCATAGTCATGAAAGTTTCCATGCAAACTTTCTCTGTTAGAAGTGTATTGATCCCAAACTACCAACTTTGTTGCAGACAGGAATCTGCAAAAAGGACGGAATCCGTGGTCGGTTAACTGATTTTATCCACTATGTGAATATCTTAATCTTAAAGATTCCGGAGTTCAAATCAGCGTGGGTGCTCTTGGCATCCCCCAAAAACAATTCATTTCGAGAAATAAAAAGAAGATGAGTAAAAGAAAAGGACTTCTTTCACTGGCAGGCAGAAGCCCTTTCTGCTAGGTTTGTTCGCTACTTCACCAAGTGTGCCAAGATATCCAAAAACGCTTTTCTTTCTCTTGAACATCTGGATGAGCAACTATAAATTTACCCTTGCTTCTGATTAGGCAAACCTCTCGCACGGACAGATGGTCAGTCCTAAGATCGAGAAGGCAGACTGAAACCTCAGCCCCATCTCCACTGCAATTTGTGTCAGTTTATGCTGCATTGGCAGGAGCCCGAATGGATGCTGTACATCATGAATGCAAATGAAGTGCCTGATTTGACATCTCCAATAAGCCTGTCTCAGTGTACCGGTGGGTTTAGCCAATTAGCAATGTCAGTAATCAATGCCTTCTGAGCCTGCTCTAAATCCTTGCTTATACTAGCACATAAATCAAGCACCGATTAGTTGATCAGTTACCCAGATGCATGGACTTAATAGCCCACTTTAGAAAGGATGAGGCTGGATATGAAAGGTAATGAACTCTGCTAGGATGACACCAACAAAATGCCTTTATACCTCCAAAAATTCCTTCAAGGGGAATACAGTGATGTTGCTCTACAGAGACCGGTGGCAGATTTATTATCTTCAGCAAGTAGCTAATCTCGTGTTTCTTATTTTACTGTTTGCAGCACTTGATATACTGCTCCCTGCTTTATAATACTGGAAAGAAGAGTTACACTTCTTTCTAAACCAAAGCCTGACTAGAATCCTTAAGTAGTGTGGCTGTGTATGTGTGTGAGTTATGTTAAAGGCCTGTGTGGGACAGACTTCTCTAAAAAAATGTACTTCAGTTTCAGTCTTACATAGAAATAGTGAAGTGTGGAACAAAAGTTAACACAGTTTGTTGCTTGAAACCTCCATTTTAAAAGCTTAGAAAATATGGAGGGATATATATATATATAAAATACACCGTAAAATGGATTAACAAGGTCATCGGAATAGAATAGTGATGAAATCCACTTATTAAGTGCACTCTGCAATAAGTTATGTTATATTTTGTGCTGTGTGGCAAAGATCAAGTTGACAAGCATTTCTAGCATCAGTTAGTTTTCAGTTCAGAGTTGGACAAAATGGACCAAACAAGAGATCTTTATGAGTTTGATCATGATAGCTAGTGCTAGGTGTGCAATTTCTAGCATCTCCCAAATGACCACTTAGACCTTTTGAAAAATCATTTCAAGAGTTCATCAAGAATCATACAAAAAGTAAAAAAAAAAATGAACTGTAGACACGCCGTAGACTAAAAGCCAAAAACAAAGAACCCTGACTAAAAACAAATTGTACATCAGAGGGGTCAAAAAAAATGGTCTCAAAGCCAAAACAGCAGAAGACCAAGTCAGGTGTGAAATAATTTAAGAGTGTAAAAGTATTTCATGGTCAGATGATTCCAGGTTCCGTTTGTTTCATGCTGATGGAAGGATCAGGATTTGGTGAAAACATGAGTCCATGTTGCCACGCTGTTTGGTGTCAACAGAACTGTGATGCAGTGGGGTAATGCTGCAACACTTCTCCACAATCCATCCACAATCTCATAGAACTGAAACGCTCTTAGGGAAAAATGGTTAGAGAACCCAGTAGGGTTCTTTGGGCTGCCCCTATGGAAGGACATTTTTTTTTGCATAGATTGCTACAACAGAGTGATTTAAGTAGAGCCTCTTCAGGAAGTTAAGAGCCTAGGAAAAAGGTTAATCAGTTTCCCTCACTAGAACCTTAACATTCTAAAACCTTACAAGAGAATATTTTGTTATCAGGGATTGCTAATCTCTCAAGTAGAACCACTTTAGGAAGCCAAGTAACACGAACTAGCCCTAGAACCATTGAAGAACCTTTTTTTCTCGGAATGTGGTTTCTCATGGAATGTGTAGCTATCACATAGGATAAGTAAAGCCACTTTAGGACGTTAAGAGCCAGAAACTAGCCGTAGAACCTTTGAAGAACCTTCTTCTAGGAGTGTTCACTCTAAAAAAAAAGTTAGATTGAGAATTCTTACAAGTTCTTTGGTATGTCCCTTCCGTTTTCACACTTGGTCTGAATACTGCACCCAGGACCGACTCTGGCCTCATTTGGGAGAGGGGTTCATGATAGCAGGTTTGTTTTCGCTTTTGTGCACACAAGTTTGCAAAGTAGTGGGCACTATATTTTCCTTTGGTACCAACACTCAAGTGGCAAAGAACAGTGCATTTGGATGCATGGCATGTCATTGGGCAGGAATACCTACAAATGACAAGCTGTTCTTGTATAAGATGAGCTTTAGCCACGCAGGCTGGTATGAGACGAGCATTTTCATGATGCTCTTAGTGCAAGTACTCACACCACGGTATTGCGACACCCTGTTGTCCGAAGATCAAAAGCTCGAATCCCCATGATGCCATAGCCATCCGTGGCTAGGAGGGAAGAGAGCGAAATTGTCTGTGCTCTCTGGGTGTGAGGGATGACATTAATCTCTCCCCTGTCACACTAGCCAATCGTGGGCATCTATTAGCTCATGTATGTGGAAGAGGACACATAGCACTTTCCACTGAGCGTGTTGCGCTGCCCTGTGACGCAGCATGAGTACAAAAAGATGGGGTTGGCTGGTTTCACGTGTCTCAGAGGAAACATGTGTAAGCCTTCACCCTCACCGGTTGGTATCTGTCATGTAATCACATTACTTGGCATGCAGCGCTGAGAGCAGATAGCTTCCACACCTGATGCGGACTGCAAAACAGTTCTGTGAAAGCGAACCCCAGGCCATCATTTTCAAGAGGATCAGGGATTGATTGTCTGCTCCCAGACATGAAAACAGCTTTTACACTTCACAAAATGTGCAGAAATCTCCAAATAGCCCTGGGTCTGAAAAAAAGTGTGAAAACAGCCTAAGATTATACATTCTTAAAAAAAAACAAGGTTACATTTAGAGCACTTTGGATTATCCTTCTGCAGAAATCTTTAAAAGCTAATAAACTGCAACTCAGAGTATTAAAAAGTAAAAACTAGTGATAAGAATGAATAGTGTGTGTAGTTACTGTAAGAGTTTGGGTTGTGAGATTCAGTATCATGCAAACTTCAGAGCATGTGACCTGAGTGCTATAAGGTTCTAGCTCTTATTCATCCTTAACCCAGATGGAACCTTACAGTACTAACATCACAGCATACTGTTGGTTAAAGCCAGCTGCTTTCACAATGTCTTCATTGCATCGAATCTATGGGGAATTAGTAACTAATAATTTATTTTATACAGTGTGGTCCCTGGAGGACTAGTGGTTAGGCCATGGCGCAATCACCGCCGCAGTCAGGTTCAATTCCCGGCCAGGGAATCGACCCCAGCCACTGGGGTTGCACACGACAATGCACTCCAAGTGCCGGTCCCAAGCCCAGATAAAATTGGGGAAGGTTGTTTCAGGAAGGGCATCTGGTGTAAAAACAGTGCCAAATCAAATATGCGCACCAGTGAACCGCTGTGGTGGCCCCATAACAGGAGCAGCCGAAAGAAGAACAATTTATTTCATACAATGAACAGATGGAAGATAGAAGGATATTACAGGTATCTTTTTTTACTTACCTCTGAACACTGACTTTTATTTTACCTCTTCAGTCATGACACTAATTACATTCATGTTCTTTGATTCTATCTAAAAAAAAAAAAAAAAAAAAAAAAAAAAAAAAAAAAAAAAAAAAAAAAAAAAAAAAAAAAAAAACCTGAAGCTTAAAATGTTACAGACAGGCTTCTGGCTTCGGATTTTAGCATTAAATTGGAGAGAAGCCAAAAAAACAAGTTGGAAAACTTTGAGAAAGTGAAATGAAGTTGTCACTTTCATGGAGCCTAGACACAATTAGTCATTTTGGCACAAAAACTACTTACTGACTTCAAAGGCAAATAGATTGCTCTCGGAAATTTGACACTGAAAAACATTTCACTTTGTTTCTAAAATGTACTAATCCCAGCTCAAATAATCTGTATGTAAGACATCAAACACTTTTTTTTTTGTATACTACAGATATAGCCCAAAGCAAAGACAGGTTTGCTTGTACAATGTTTTGATAGAAAAGTTATTTGCAAAAGTCAGTTTCAGGGGAAATGTGTCCTTCTTTTCCTCAGTTTAAAGATGAAAAATAATGGATATTTTATCAGCTGTTCCACACACTGAGAAAGTTTAACTTCATTTCACCCACTTGGCTTGCCCTCTGAGTTATCATTAAAATAATCAGCCTCCACTTGCAACTACTTTAGATGGTCTCTGATTCTGCATGCCTTTGGGTTTGTAACAGAAAAGAGGGGGAAAAAAACGAAATGCATATCCAGGCCCAGAATCTAAAACAAAGTATTTGTAATGGAATGCATCTAATATTCAAAAAGTATGCCCAAGCAAACAGGAAGTAAGCCAATGCCTCATGAATGTTAAGCAAGAAAGCGAAATGCAAAACTAATAATGTTTTTGTCTCTTGTTGTGAAGCCAGGTGTTTTGTTAGAAGCATGTGTTACACACACAGGAATGATTTCCTTCATGAACTATGAAGCAGAAAACCAAGTCAAGTCTACATTCCGAAACACTGACTCTTTCGTGCGTTGGGGTATCAGTAGTAAACAATCCGCGATGGTCGTGAATTCTGCTGTCAAGAAGCATCAACTCACACACCGTATGGATATCATCATTGCACATCATCCTAAAACATGGGTTAATGGATCTGCCTCTATGCAAAGAACACCCTGGCCTCCCTGAATCCACACAATCTGCTCGCGAATTGCTGTTTGCTCTTCGCAGATTGCTATTTATTGTGATTTATCAGTAACCGTCACTAAAGGTAGAAGCATGTCGCGTCTATAATCTTTCACAGAGGCATGCAGGCATGCAGCTCCCCATAATAAATGCACAACCTGCTACCCCCTGGGAGTGATGCAAAGACAAACATTTCTGTATGAAACACCGTCTGGCATGGCCTGTGATTTCCTTAAGGGCATCCTGAATCTGATAGGCTTCATGGCAGCTCAGAAGGGAAGCTTCAGTGCACATTTACAAATACCCGCACATATTGCTTTATAGTGCTGCTTGGGAACGTGGGGCGGGTGAACGTAAACAACGGAATACATCACAAACAAAGACAGCGTCTGAAAATATATTGCAACTCAGAATAAAGTCCTATTCAGATGAGCGAAGTTGTCCGGACATATGTGTGTTAAGATGACATCTACAGTAATTCTGATTGATTTGCATTGGATAAGCAATCTCTGAATGAATTACATTGATGAGAGTGTCTTCATAATTTACAAATGCTCGCCACATGAAAAAAAAAAATTCCATGTGTATTACATACATCTCATTTTTATACAAACTGAGTGTTCTGACCTTTATTTTAGATTGCAAAATGACATCGAAATGATCATTACAAGATAATAAACCAAATATATGATTATGAAACCTATTTCTAGACATTTAAAATAGCTTGAATTGTTCTATTGGTTCTATTTATTTTTTTTTTTTCATTTTAAGCATTTATTTAAGCAGCTAATTTATTTGCCTATAGAATACGAAACTTTAAAGCTGGAAATAAAGCTGTAAAAAAAAATCACCTAAAAACAGGCTGGCTAATCTTATATTTGATTTGTAATCATCTCATAATAAGAAATATTAGATCAATTTGCCCATATTTACACTTGCTGAGATATCATTTATCGCAACGTAACTTGTTGTACACGCATCCCGCACACATGACACTTGATCATTAGTAGGTCACATGACTATGACATGAATGTAGGCTATAACTATTCTAGGAACGTAACTAAAAACCCCTGGAAGTCATTTTAAATGTCTATATTTTATTGTTCTGCTGTAACACTCAGTCAATACTCGGTTTCGTTTTGGTTTCAGCGGGAGACGATAGAAGAGAGCACTTCCTGGAGTGACTTTTTACTAACGTATAAATTGGACAGGATATATATCACCCTAGGCCATTTTAGAGAAGATAAAATACAGCATACTCTTTCCAGACGCGTGCTTGCACAGTCCGTAAAAATTAAAGACATGACGGATTTAGATGGGACTAAAATCCCAGATATATTCCACTAATACTTACATTACTTTCCCATATAAAACTAATTCAAGCTGGAATGGAGTATAAGTATAAAAAATAAATGCAGTCTGTTGGAATTATTTATGAATGGACATTTTGACAGATGTGACCATCCAAGTTCAGATGTACTGTAGGTCACCCCAAAGGCCCTAACGAAACAGCAGACTCAGAAAATATAGCATTGGAGCAGGGCGAGAGCCTGTGGCAAGTTGCCAAATCCCCTACTCAGAATAAAAAGAGGAGGACAGCAATCACATGCACCGTCTTCTGAACAGCTACCATCTTAAAGCACAACACGTTTTCTTATTTATTGACCTGGAAGAGCCAGAGACAAGCCCGAAGCAACACACACACACACACACACACACACACACACAGACACAAACACGCAGCCAGTTCACAATTAGCGACACACAATTTGCCACTTCAGAAAGCAAACGGCAACATTCCAGCTATTTAGCCAAGGTAATACTGTAGGTAGGAGCTGAGCATTTATCCCAGCCTCCAAGCCTCAAAAAAAAAAAGCAGGAAGGGGGAAGGAGACACTGTGCAGAAGGACAGAGTCTGTATCTATACTGTCAGCTTGCATAAACCACTATTAATGCAGGAAGGGTACATGGGGTTTACATTACAAAAACATCTGCTACCTGCAGAGCCTAAGTGCTTTGTGACCAGATTTGAGCAGAATCCATACAAATACAGTGAGATCCAAATATGTGTGGAGAAGCGGAATTGATTGAAGTGCTAAATATGACAAGCTATAGCTTAAGCACGCATTACGCATGCAGGAAATGCAGTCAACCAAGGAATATCTAATCCACATATATTTGTGTTTGAAGCCATTCGGATCATTTCCACGCTATGACAAAAACATACTTATGGCTGAACAAAAAGTGCTGCCAACCATGAGCTAATGCTTTTCCTATATGGAAGAAAGAAAGCACAATTTCAGGAAGACAGCTTTCATATCTTGTAATGTATTAAATGGGCCTGTCTGATAAAATCAGATGGTGGCAGATTCAGCATTCACCCTGATGGCCTATCACACTCACCCTCAACATCACCTTACAAAAGAAAGTTATCTCCAGATATGTACTCAGCGACAGCAGGGCAGCAGCCGTGTCTGTTGCTTCATAAGAGTAGCAATTAACTTATCAGCATATTGTCCTTCACTGTGTGTGAGAATGAGAAGCAGTGTGACTCATGCGCTTGCTGCCAAACAAAGCAACACATCATTAGCGTCAGATAGTTTTAATGAGTAACTGTCCGGGTTGGAGAGAAACTGTATGCAGAGGGTATTTTCAGAATAATGCAAATATGTGAAGCATGAGAATCCATTAGCTACTTTACAAACAGGTCATGAGCCAAGTCATTGCTATAAAATAATGTAGCAGCACAATTAGCAAGCATGAACATCAAGCACAGTTTATAGCATGTAAAATGCTGCCCATTAGACAGGTGTGTATTGCCAAACATTTGTGTCATATTACTACCTGAACTACACATCATTAACACATGGCTACAGGATCTGCCTCTTTTTACAAAGTTTTGCATGCACTATGTGGGCAGAACTGTATGTACTGTCAATATGATTGCATCACTGCTAGCCAGCCGTCACAGTGGGTCATATCCTGCTGAGGGGGTGGCTGCCCCGCTAAATGTTCCATCGGAACATTATCCATCGTGATCTGCCACATTTGGATTACAGGCATTCCTCAGAGTTTATCACAACTCGTCACAGCCAAGGGTCAAGCAGACATCAGCAATCAGAGAAGCTGCCAGGCCTTAGCAGTGGACACACAGAGTAGTTAAATAATACACGGTACAGATTGCTGTTGGTGTCTCAGGGACCACTCATGACTGCAGACCCATTGGTTATCTTCTTTTAGTCTTATGCTGCACAAGTTTGGCCTTTCAAAAACATTAAACACTACATTAAACAGTTTTTGTTTCTCATACCTCAACACCTACCATGAGGGCCACACTGCTTCCATACTGACGTTTTACAAAGGTAACGTTATATAAGGTAGCTTTACATTACGTTTCCCTGGTTAACACTGGAAATACTTGATTGATTTAAATGTTCAGCCAATCAAGGAGTGAAATGAAAACCACAATGATCAATATGAAGCAACTTCATGAACAAGTTTGTAGTTACCGAGGCTGAAAAGCAAGTTCCAATATTTATACTTGGAGACCAGACTTTAATAAGTATCAACATTTAGCAACTACTGATTATTAATGGTTT